AGCGCGGCCGATGCGGCGCCACCACGCAGTAGTAGATGCCTGAAGCTACACTTGCTTGGAGCTGCCTTGATCTTTCCGCGCGTTTTCCGCGCGCCACTCTCCCTGGAATGAGAAAGGAAAAAACCCTAACCGAGGGGGGGATCGTGCGGTACGTCTATCCCCTGTGGTGGATACTAGCATTTGATTAAATCGTGTGAAGCTACACTAAACCTGGAGCTGCCTCGAAGAGTGAGCTTCGGCGTTGAAGGCAGCGTGTGCGTGTAGCGAGCCAGTCCATACCGAGGAATTACTAGGAATGGGTAGTGCGACGAGCGACGAACGTTGAATTGCGACAGTGAGTACGACAGTGCATGCGACGGTACGTGCGACATTCCGTGCGACAATTCTTGAGACATGGCGTGCGAATCTTTCCGCTACATTGACTTGCATCAAGACCAGAAATCCCCAGTGGTGAACTGCCGAGCCGCGAGGAAAAGTGGCGAAGGGATGACGAAACATTATAAAGCCTGTTTATGAAAGGAAGATGTACTGTTTTGCATTTTTTCACCTTTGAAACCTTCTAGCAAGTCAGTTCATATCGGAACAATATGTAAGCTTTCACATCCTGCCAACCCTTATTGACCTCCCTTCCCCACGCGAGTTCTTGAGCAAACTACAACGTGCCAAGCCTGGTTGGCCTCCCTTACCACACGCGATTTCAGCGAACTATCTCGCCAGAACTTCCATTCCACTGTTCGTTTTCCTAGCTACCTGCAGATACAACCGACCACCTGAGATCAGGCCTGTAGTGTCCTTCGAATGGCCCGGAAGGACGTCACAACGCATGACGATTTTTAGTAGCTTGAAGAAACCGAAACTTCCTTTCATCGCGAAAATGGCAAGCTCGGAAAAGCAACTCGAAATACACTCTTCCGAAACTTTCCCGATATTTTTGCCGGCACTTTTGAGTCAAGGTTTTAGAACTGCATGGCCACAGTCACTTACAAAGTAACTTCGCGTTCACCTTCCCGATGCATTCTGTACATATGCGTGCATCAATTAGACACTACACCCGCATCCGTGCAGTTGCTCATCATCATGGGCTGCGCCACACAAAAAGTTTACCCAACCATACCATGCCAACCAACTACAAAGTGACGAGTAAGCAACCCCTCTGCCACACCGTACGCGCCCACCCACGTGGCATCCAGTAATCAACCCGCACGTCCGACGTAAGCGTTTAGGGTTTATAACGTACCCGCCCCCCAACCGTTGGATGCACATTCGGTCACGCAAGTCGCGACGGTTCACAGTGTCTCATGTACATAAACTCGCACAGGCCAGCGCACGAGACACGCCAGTATCTTCACCGTCCATCTGATCGATGCTACACCCTGTACATACGTGACAGTTGGTGCCAACCCACAGGTGCTACTAACCGCAAATCACTCGTTCATACCCACTAGCATGCTACCATGTCGCATCACTCTACTTGCGCATCGTGCGTCCCGCAGCCTACACTACATTGCATAATCACCGTACACCTGTCACGCCGCCACCGTTTAGTACACATTCGCCAATATTACTCGCCACCCCGTAGTTTTTCACACGCTACTAGGTGACGACGCCATCTGCGTCGTCCATCAGTGGACCATCGTCTCTACCACCGAGCTGTCGCGTCCACGCACAACGTATTCGATCTACGCCCCGTACACTTGCCGGTCGATTCCCGTTCTCGCACATCTAGTAACCAGTTACCATCTCATACGTTGCACTCGTTCGCGTCATCTGCACGACACAAGAGACACCACGACCGGTGACAACTATCTCACCCTCCGCGCATATCACACCCGCGTTTCCCAACCGTCAACCTCATCTTCCGCGTCCGTACTGGATGGTGACAGACGCGTAGTCACATCCGTGTACGCCACTGTGCAATTGGTTCCATCGTCATCTCTTATCCTGTTGAATATCCAACCAGATGTCCACGCGTGCGCACCGTGAAGACTCTTACGTCCACACATTTACGTGACATATGGCACACTCCGTGAAACGCGCCGCAACATGCGGCGCGTTCCACGCCATCCCGCACCACCTGGTGGACGGCCTGGCTGATGCATTTCCGCATCTAGTGGTGTAGGGTGTTGTGCTATCATCTGCATCAATAACCCCAATAAAAGCCTCCTCCACATTAACGTTGGAACCAACCACACAAACATACTACGCAACCATGCATACAACTAACCCCCGTAACTTCCATTAACACACATGCAAAAACCCGTGCACACTAAACTGCTACTCAGACCCACAACCAGAAAGAGATAATGATGCCTGAGGACACCTCTCCACCACCTGTCCCCTCAACGGTCCGCAACACGATCATGACGCCCCCCAGCCAGTCGGCCTACTCAGCACCAACTGACGCCGAAAGGTCGTCATCCCCAACAAAGGTCTTCGGACTAGAGCTGTGGCGGTGGGCTTCATGTGCTCCAGGCCGCACGCAGAGATGCGCAGTCCATGGCGGCCCCAGGTCCACGCCTCGCGCTCCGCGTCATACTCCGGTTGCGGATCCGGATCGCCCTCTCCACGGCCTCCTTCACCAGGACCTTGAGGCCGTCCACAACGTGGGCGTTTCCCCCGGCCGAGTTGGAAAGCCGGCCTTTCCTCTCCTCCCAGTAGAGGACGCAGTCGGAGACCTGCGGAAACACCCAGCTTGTCACTCAAATGGTACGACAGTACAACGCAAAAACCGTGCACACATTGAGCGCACAAACTCACCACATGCTCCAACCAGGCCAGGTGGTACACCTTCAGAGTCATCACCAGCCCGGCCTTCTTAGGCCTGAATGCAGCCTTCGCGCATGTCGCGAACGCCCGAGAGGCAAACGGCATGCCGTCCCGGTCTGTCGCCCAGCTCGTGAGCACCAGGGTTTCTGCACACCATATGCGCACAGTCAGTGTCAATGGCCGCCATACACTCATTGTCAGCATACCAACACGTAGGCGACCCCACCTGCTGTCTTCATGGCACTCACCAGGGCGGTCAGCGCCAAGCCCAATGCGCTCCCGGATCTTCTCGATACTGCGCTCCTTCTCTGGTGCCCACGGGCTGGGATGCGTCCCTGTCGTCGCGGAACAAGCCGAATGGGCCTTGTGAGTGCATATGTCCTCGCAACAGCAAGGGCGGCGGCCCGCGTCCTTCCCAACAAGAGAGCGTCTTGTTGAGGTCCGCGCGTCGCGACTTGTCAGCCGCCAACGCCAAGCACGCAGAAGCTATGCGGCAGGCGGTCCAGCACCGCACACACTCCATGAGTCTTATCGTCGCTGCTTCGGGTAGAAGGTCATCGTCGACGTCGGCCTGTTGAGAAACATGTGCACCCTGGCGAGCTCGCAAACACCTCTGCGCACGTATGGTGTTACACGATGAACAAAGTAAGCGTCATCCGATGAGCGTCAACTGCACATCAGTTGCACTCCAAATCGAAGACGGTTCAAGTAGACCCACTCCGGAAACATGCCCGCTCACCTTCCACGCCTTGTCCGTCGGCAAATGCTCCAGCTGTGCGTTGCAGAATAGGGGACTTTGCGGTGATGCATATGACGGCCACCAGAACCATGCGTGTCGTCCTCGTCGTCCTCGCCCATCGTCGTCGGACCCTCCCACTCCACGTCTCGCCACGCTGACGCGTTCGGGTTCATACACCCCTGTCCCGGGTCTCTCTGCTTCTGCGCCTTACGCTTACGAGAGCCACCGGAAGGCCCGAGACATCGCATTCAAGAACAGCGCCTCCAACCGCGCGTTCTCCTTGGCGCTCTTGTCCTGAGCCTGTATAAGTTGCTCGAGGACCCTGCTCGGGAATGCGCACGTCATCGCCGTTTGGGTTCAACGTGTTCCCGCATGTGCGGTCCACAGGTCCGTCCGCATGTCCTCGGGCCGTCACCTCGAGGCACATCCGTGTCCCGCGCGCCTTGGCTTGCGCGCTGTGTCAGCATTGGGCGCAAGCGGTTCCCGCACACCCATCGTCGGTTCGTCTTCGCCTCCGGAGCAGGGTCGGCGGATTCTTCGTGTGAGGCGCTAGCCGATGTGTCTGAGCCTTCCTCGTCATCCTCCTCGCTGCGCTCGGACGAATCTGCACTTTCGGCGCCCGTCCCGTCATCTGTGGGTGAGCGAACACACCAGAAAGGCACAACACCCCAAGTTAGCAAATGGCATGTCACTGGGGTCCGAGTTTGTTCAGAGCGGACAAAAAACAGTAATAACGTCATGACACATCCACACATGCTCGGGCTGCATACCTTGCTCCGGCTGCACCACCATCCTTTCCCTTCTTGGCTAAGCTCAGGCGCTTAGGAATGGTCGCCCCCACGTTTCCCGTTCGACAGTCGACCTCGCGGCATCGTCAGCTGGTACGAACGCTCGCAGGTACGCCGGCGGGAGTGAGACACGTCGCGACCGGCCTCCACCCCTCGTATCGTCGGAAGCAATTGAGGTATCCATTTTCGCAAGGGAAGTATGCAGTGAGTTGCTTTCACAATGACGCTCAATACGATAATTTCTACACAAAGTTGGGGGGCCCAAATTCTTAACACGCCGGAGCACCGTGTACACAATGAGTTTGGTAGGCAAAACTACCACGTACACATCTGGATGATCGCAATCCGAAACGACGAATAGATGGACACCACGTCAACGTACCTAGTGATGCATGTGTGCACAGCAGAACCACACACTGCGCACATCCTGTTGACATAACCGTATCCATAGTCCTCGTTTGTGTTGCCATCAGGCTCGCAAACCGGTTCTCGGTATTCAGTGATTTCATACACCACTTCGTAATATAGCACACCAAGTGCACGATTACACAACCGGATTACAACACATGTCGGGTCACACCATGTACGCACACGTCGTAACGTTTATTACACATGCATACATGCACACTACAGCAAGCGCTGTACATTAGCAAGTGCAATACAAAACTAAGCTACTACGTGCACGACCTGTCTCCCATATGCTTTGTCTATACATCCACTATGCAGCAGGGGCCTGACGTGTTCTCATGTGCACCAGTGTCTTCCCCTCGCTCTTCCTGCTCTTTGTTCTTTGCACCCCCGCCCTGCTCGCTCACAGGGGCCGTCCCCCCACTCTCCGCATTGTCCGGGGACCTCTGGTTCGTTGGTAGCATGGTGTTGCTATCCACCACCCTGTGCCTCTTTGATGTACCTGTGGCACCCCCACGCTTCCTGCCACGTTTCAGCTTGCTGCTACACGCTATCCAGCGCCTCCCGCCAGCTCCTCCACCTCCACCACTTCCGCGCTTCCACCAGGATCTGCAAATCTTCTTTGGTGCAACCACGCAGCATCGCCTTCTCTGCGGCTGACAGGCTGACCGTGTTGGGTATCTTGTCACGTGGCCCCTCAGCCCGAACGCACCTGCGGCGTACGCGAACGCCCCCTCTTCCTCCGTGGTGTACGCTCCCAGCCGCTGCTGCTTACGCTTTCCACCTTCCTTAATCAGGATCTTCATGCCGTACTTGCCGGATGCTTTATCCAACTTCACACCCGTGTATCTTGAAGGCACACACTTCGTCATCATCCTCCTCGTCGTCTGTGTCTGACACGAGATCCTCCTCCTCTTCGGCCTTCACCGTCTCCTTCCCTCGCGTGTCTCCCCACACGTCAGCTCCAGCTGGCACACCCGCCCCGAGCAGGTGCATCCCGCGCGTGAACATCCAGTGAGGTATGGTCCCATGCGCAAGGTGCGGGTTCTGCAGCAAGGTCGATGTCGGCTCACATGCAGCGAACGTGGAGGCCAGCGCAACCCGGGTGGCATTGCGCACGCCATCCTCCTCAGGACTGCTGTCATCCCGCCTCTTACGTCTAGACGGACGCTGTGGAGTGCGTGGAGCATTCTTGGTGCCACCCGCCTCTGCTTTCGCGCCGGTCCCCGCGTGACCCCCATGCAGCAGTAGTTGGGTTGCAGCTGTCACCACCTCGTCCCGCCTCAGCCCTACAAAGTTGGCGAGTACGGTGAAGCTGGCGTCCAGGTACCTCACATCGTTATTCAACGTCGCCAGTCGCCTCATCATCTCCGTAACCCGTGCGTCCTCCACAGGGCGAGTGACCGGAGCTTGCCTCCCCCTCTCCCATAGCAGCGTTCCTCTCCTGCACCACCACTGCCCCCTCATCGGTAACCCGGCCTTCGTCCTGCGGGGGGATTTCAATCCCCAGGTCCTCCAGCTGTTTAATAAGATCTCCGCACGCGTGTGCACACAAGTTCGCGCCGCATCTCGTCCCGCCTGTATTGGTGCGGTGTCACACCCTGGAACCAGAGGCCGTTCAAAACCGTGGTGAAGTCGGTATTCACCAGGGTCTTGAGGTACTGACAAACAAAAATCCCACAGTCCTCCCTTGTTAGGCTGCTGTGGCAGCTTATCCTCCTGCAAATACGGGACCGCATATGCGAGTTAGAAATCAGTATACTTGCGGGCGGCTTACTGCACATTGGTATCCACAGAGTCCTGGTTGCATGCTCACCCGTAGAATGATGCAGTCCGCCTCTGTCAGCATCTTGTCCACAAACTCCATGTTCGCGTTTGGGTTACTTCGCCTTGGCGAGTTCGGACAGCACGCTGCACGCAAGAGGCCAGAGGCGTTTTTAAATACCGACCATGTACGACAACTGGAGACATTGTCATTAAAACCATGACTCACAGCTTGGTTCCTGCAAAAAATCTTGTCGGGTATTCCGATTCTTGATGGAACTGTCCAGCAAGACCACGTCATGCGCTCCTTGCCCGAGATTTTCGATGACTTGGTGAGCACCGATGGACCTATAGCGATGACGAGGGAATAGTGTTCACTGCGCTCAACATGAGGGGGGTTAAACGGATTAGTTGGTTAGACAGTACACCCCGGCTCACAACAGAAACCACTACAAGCACTTTTATTGCACGATACTCACGACCTCGAGCACCGGGATCGCCAGATAATCGTGATCACGAAGTGGCCGCCCGTTTCCCAGTGTTACCTGCGCTCCATAGTCATTCGTCTGTGTGTAAGCCTTGCAGTCCATAGCGGCCATGTCTTCCCATCACGGAGCTTTGGCTTCCTGATGCTAAGCAGCCTGCCGAGTGCACGAAAAAGTTCATATCAGCACATCAGGGTCCGCGAGATCCGTAATAATCGCGCAACATGTCGCGTCAGGGTGTGACTGTCGGAACGACACTTACACGTTGTGGAAGTCGATCACACCATCAGTAATCCACTGATCGTCCTCTATGGACATGAGGTCGTCCTTATCCACTTCACATCCGACCACCGCGGTGATTCATGAGCTTCATGTTGCTGTACGATGAGTTCACATAATTCCGGGCGATAGTGGCCACCAAGTCGTCCGGCACCGGCTCTCGCGCCTTTTCCACCACATGATTCGCGAACTTCTGAGCCCTATTGTCGCCTTGTTCGACGACCTGGATCTGGTGACGGGCGGGGCAGCATCTTGGTCATCGGAGCTACTGTAGTCTCCGGTTCATAGAACCGGTTGCGCTTAGAGACCAACTGCTTAGGTTTTCGCCATCATGAACGAACACTGACAGGCATTCGGAAGACGAAGGGAGATTAATACGTGAGCACGGAGGGGATGACTGGGTGAGCACAGCAACTATGGGATCTCGCGACAATGGCACTATTCGGAAGGAAGGGGAGAGCAAGGCGTAACCCTTGCCTACAATGTCCAGCTGGTGCGAACGTCATGTATATACCCAATGGTCGACACCGTTGGCGCAACATCGCATGCGATGTCCAGGTGTGATGCGACAACTCGACTGGATGTGATGGTGAGGTGCCAAGCAGATCCACGTGTGAGAAGCCTAGGGTTTCGGTTGATGTGGTCCTCGGTGTGGGTGGTTTACCAAACCCGGTGCATGGAATACATTGTGGTTTCGCCATTTGAATACGATTTATTGCGGAAGCCGAATGACGCGGAAACCGATAACGACGTACGCGGTAGGGGGCACATGTGGTCGTTGTGTCTCCAGCGCGCGCCAAGTCTTGATGATGATCTGGCAGAGTTGCCCGGGTTGAGATAATCGTGTACTGGTGAACGCGGTTGTTTCAATGGTTTGCTATATCTGTATATTGCTGTAATATGCGGGGCTTGTTTAAGTGAAATGTGATACATTCCACACAAATTCAGTGCAGACTTTGGGAGTTTGGGGTTGGCTCCCGACATGTTTCCAGTGTAAATGTAAATGGCTCTACGCCTTTATGTGTCAAAGAGTTATCAGTTGAAATGTACAATTTCATACCCCAAATTAACACTTGGGTGTACTTTCATTAATTGTACACAAGATCCGCTATTTTGTGCACACGGTCTACGGTTTCCTGCACATGTGTGTTCGAGAAGTTTGTCCTCGGAGTTGTATTAGAGTGTACCTGAGGTACTCAGCAGTGGTCCTACTACTGGCCCAGCTAGGGTTTCTTGGCTCTAGGATGACGGGGAACAGTTGCATGGTGTGCGAGACGGTGTTTAAGGACGACAGCAGGTTACAGTCGCATGTCGCTAATGGGGCAATTTGTCGCGAGGAGTTGAAGAGGAAACGAGAGAGTCTTTTGTGGGCGGCATATTTGGAAGCCATTGCATGTGACGGAGAGAGTAGACCTAACACACCACCGGCATCCCGGCTTAAAAATAACGATGGCAGTTTTGTTTCTGCTGCTCCAACAGCTTCGATCCCCGAAGTTAGCCTTGTTGGAGACGCGGATACACGACCTGACGGCGAACCTTGCCGAGTCCTCAGAAGACAGCGAAAGGAAGGAGATATTCGATACACTGACGGAGTTGTACCTATTCTTTCCGTGACGCCGATCTTTCGCACAGGGAAGTGAACCGTCTGCTGCACATTTTCCGCAACCCGCGCTTCAACCTACGGTCACTCAGACGATGGCGCAACTGGGTGGACGTGCGACGCTGGGGCATGGCGCGAGCTCCAGCCGACATGGTCCCGTGGAAAACGGAGGAGATAGTGGTGCGGGGCCCCAAAGGAATGCAAATGAAGCTGCTTCTGCACTTCCGCGACACAAGAGCTGGTTCGTAAATGGGAGGCCAACGCAGCTAGCGATGTCGTAATGTAGTGTCGGCCGTATGCATTTCCATGGAATACACGCGCTCACACACCTGATTCTAACGCGATGCCCGCAGATTTTGAAGAAGCTGGTGCGAACGTTCTCATCGAAGAAGGGGTTCGTTTGGAAACCAAGGAGATTCATCGGAAGAAGAATAACGAGAGGGTTTTTGAAGGCCCTGAGACGGGTGATTGGATGCACCCTGCTCAGGTACGGAGAATCGGTCAGCCTGTCCCTATTTCATGTGTGCAGCAGAACATGCTAGATGCATTCGAATAACCACATCTCACTATTCAGTGCGTTCTACATGGCAGAAGGAGATTAATGACGAAGAGGCACTCATTCTAGGGCGTGCTGATATACAGTGATAGCACGCAGGCATCACGGAATGGACGGAGGAAACGCGTGGCCGGTGCTCATTTCACTTATTAACATACCAGAGGAATTGCGTGGAGTGGAGCCCTGGGCACACATTGGCGGCGGTGCTTCCATTCCCACCTGAGTGGCATCGCCTACGGAGAAGACGCGCATTTTCCAGGAGGCACTAAAGATCATCCTCGCGCCCATCATGCGAGAGTCTGCAAGGTACTTGGAGGGGAGGGGGGTGGGGAGGAGTACGCTACGATTGCAAGGGGCTGGGGGGCACCCCAGCAAGTAGGCAATGTGGGTTGAGTAATGTACATGTTCCATCGACTAACTGCATACCATGTGTGCATCACTACACTGTGCAGCGCTCCAGTTCGCTTCTTCTACTGCACAGATGCGGACGGGAAGGTGCACAAGGCGGTCCCTTGCCTGTACGGATACCCTGCGACTTCCCGGAATCCAGCAGAGCATCTGCGACTCTTCAGCAAGGGTCACATCGGCCATGCGCTAACTGCTATGCAGACAAGGGGAGTTGACCATGATGGTGGGGAAGGCCGATCCCACGTACCCCAGAGAAGCAGAGGGACATTGTCCGCCAGATACTGGAGTGTAAGAAGAAAGGGGAGGCTGACGAACTGCGGAAGTTATGGTCAACCCATCCGATCGAGGTGTGTTAGCCGATGGGTAGTTTGCTGGCTTGTAATACGCGGTGGACTCTTTAACAGCATTGTGGTCTTTGGTTGGACCATGCAGTGTGTGCTTCACAGGTGGAATTTCGCAGACACAGAGTGGGGCAACGTGTACATGGCATGCCTGGCAGACACACTGCATGTGCTGGACTCCGATGTGCTGATCCACATGATGGACACCTACATCGAACCGCTTGGAAAGGTTGAGATGAGGCTGCTTGAACGGTGAGCTTGGTGTGGTTGGGTGTGCCAGCGGGACATGCTCTACCATGGGTGGGTTAGTTGGGTAGTAGCACAGCCTGTGTGCCACCAGATGACCACCTGGAACCATGTATGTGCGCAGCCGCAAGAAGGGAGTTCAAGGGAATCACGCCTAGCGTTCTCCTCCGAATCCCAGGGGGCTCATCGTTCTTCAGTTCCGGCGCAAACTACGCGGCGTTCGAGCACAGGAGCATGATGCAGATAATGCCGATATTGGTGGCTGACGAGAGTGCGCTGAAGGGTGGAAAAGAGGGAGAGCTGCGTGCTTTGCAGGTCAAAGCGTTCAGGCTGTTTGCCGTGTTTTACAAGGCCTTTCTGGGGGTGGACAGGCACACTCACACAACAATTGCGCTTGCCCGTCAGCATGCGATAGCGTGAGTACATATATGCATATTCCGGGTGTTTGGAGGGGGGAATGAGAGCGTATGCTAATTGTTTGTGCGGCCAACGTGGTGTAACACACGATGATGTATCGCGTGGTGTGTGTTATCGTGGACGCGTTGGCAGGTTGGTGAGTTGCTACCGAGAGGCATTTCCAACGCAGGCGTCCCACTGGAGACATCCCAAAGATACACATGATCAGGCATTTACTGGACAAACGTTGTGCACCGTGGGATGCCGCACCACTATTCCACTGAAATGTGGGAGCGCACGCACAAGGGCACGGTTAAGGGTCCAGTAGAGGGAGCAACTGGAGCGACATACCACGACGCATTGTGGAGGAGGAGGTGCAGCGAGAGGTGTACCGTGAGGTGGCGGCAGACGCGGGGGGTGGGCGACAGTACGCGTCCGCTTTGCGCGAGGTGCGTAAGGGTGCATGTGGTACCATGCTGGGCATTGAGAGTAGTCCTTTAGTGCGGTTTACCATGGACGAATCGTGCCTCAAACAGTGTGCGGTTTTGCTGTGGGAATGCGAGCCGTGACGTGCAGGGCACTCAAGACGAGGAAACCCGTGCTTACAAAGAGGTATCGGACCATGCGCATAGGCGGAGTGACGGATTCGGTGTACAATGAGTACATCGCCGCGCTGGGAGACGAGATGAAGGGGATGTCAGATGAGTTCAAGGCGTTGGGTCTGGCTACCAACAACGTGCAGGTGAGGTGATTATGTTGTAGCGGTTGGTAACGTATCCGGGTTTGACATGTTGGTTGTCACTGCACTCATGATGTTCTGTGATGTTGGATTGGGTACTCTGGTCTGACAGGTGCACACCGGCGGTGGCCATTCCGCGCACAAGAGGAGGAGAGCTGGTGGCCAAAGGGACATTTGTGAAGGCTTCTCCTCGAGAGAGGTGGTATTCGGACGTGGCACTGCTGAACAAACAAGAAGGGGGACTGGTATGCAAGATGTTTGTGCATCTTCAGGGCGGTTGATCTTGATGGGGAGTGGAGGGGTACGCATATGTGAGGTACTATGAGGGGGCAGGAACATGCAAACTTACAGGGTGCCAGCAGCTGCACAAGAAAGTGGAGAAGGTGAGGTACTCGGTGGTGGAGTTGAGGAGCCTGCAGAGAGTTGTGCACGTGTGCCCTTCGTACAGTAAACAATAAGGTGCAATTAGTGAACAGGTTTTTACTATGTGAGTGACGATGAATGTTGGTTGGGTGAAACGGCAGTGCTGATCCACGCGTTGGCAAACATTACGTGATACGTTTTAGGTGTGTAGAAGGCAGGATTGATGGGTAGAGGATTGCAGTAGGTGTACGATATTGTGTTCGGAAGTGTTGGGTTTGTAGGTATGGAGTGTTGCCGTTGGTGAAATGCCATGGACACGGATGATAAAAATGTGCACTCATGTCCATGTCAGTATTATGGCCATTTAAAGCATGAGTATGGCGCACAGATGTTCTCAGCGAAGTGTAGATGTTGGTGTTTGAACAAAATGATAATGGTGGTAGTAGTTGGCATATCAGGTCCATAACGGGTACTGGTATTGTTGACGTTTGTGCGGTCGAGGTTGACACAATTCAATGTGTGGTGGTGTGAACGAACCGAGAACGGGCCGTTGGCTGGGCGATATGGGTGACGCGTACGTGGCGTAGAGGGTGCGAAATGGCCTATCTGAACGTAACAGGTGGGCGTTTCACATGTGTGCGTTATCTTTGAGCGGCGCAGGGGTAGTGTTGAGTTGTTGTGTGGCGCATGTCAACCACTGTACGTAGTGTGCGTACAGGAGCAACATGGGGGTACGTTCCGGTAGAGGGAAACATATATAGTACGGGGTCATCCGGCCTTCTATGCATACTTGCCAACCTGGGTTGACAGAGTGCTACAATGGGTGACCTGAAGGGACTGCTGGCCACCGCGCACCCAGACGACGTGTTCTGCTTCCACGAGATTAATTTTCTTCCGAGCCGGCTTCCGAAGACATACATTCCGGATAAGCGCAATGGGGCGGAGCGGATTGTCAGCGTCGGCATTCTTTACAACGCGACGAGGAGTTGTTCCGCGGTGCCTCTGGTGGTTCTATCGCCGTACGATAGGCCCGAGCGCAGGCGGGGGAGGGCGGCATCGCGCCAGGTGGCCGTCCGGTATACGCACCGCGGCCGGTTGACGCCGGAGGTACGTAACCATGTATACTCAGTGTGCATAACGTTGGTTAGACGTGTGCAGCATATGTGTGCATACCGCTATTATGATGGAGTTGTGCTATCGGTGTCGGGTGTTCTGCACACAGGTGTTCACGGAGTTCGTGGAGACTGTCAATGGCGTGCACTTCAGCCGTGATCGCAACACCCTCATCCTAACCATACACGAGGCGCATCGCATCATCGGCGAGGTCGCGCGACCCGTCACGGAGCACGGCTTCAGCGTGCAGCACCTCACCAACACCCGAATCGTCAACATACGAGGGTCGGTTCCTGAAGGGGGCCTTCCGCACCTGCAGGGAGTGGAGGATGCGCTGAAGGGCCATTACCCGCGTTATGCTGATGAAGCGTGCGATAGCGGCGAAGCGGTTCCAGTTCGACTATTCGGCTTCCATCGATGACGTGGATTATGGCCTCATGCTCGAGTGGCTGGGAGAATCGTGGACTCGTGTGGCGCGCAGCAAACCATGCAGAGGAGCTGGTGGCGCGCCGGATGCGTGCCCCCGAGCTGGCCGCCACTGATGGCGTACCTGAACGACACGTGCGCAACGGGCATGTTTGAGCCCTCATTGCGACATGCGTCGAGCTGCAGTTGCTCATCGAGAAGTTCAAGATGAAGCCTGCGTGCTATATGACGGCGGCGGAGTTCGTCAACTGCGACGCGGGACTCTGCGTGGAGCAGGGGTTCAGAGCCACACCTGCTGCCAGCGCGTCGGATGACTCGTCGGGCGAGATGAGCCTGCCAGATGGGCCCCTTACTGCGTGACGAGTGCAGAAGGCGGCGCGTGATTCGCAACGTCACAAACGCGTACGTGGAGCGTGCCAATGAGCTCGGCATTCCCCCGGCCCTCGTGCCAGCAGAGGTCGGAGCATCTAACCAGGAGGTGATTTCCCGCCTCGGCAGGACGCCAGTCAAGCGTGCGCGGCGCGGGGCTGCGCACTGAGGACGTGGCAGACCAGCGGTGCGCGAGAGTGAGGACGACGAGTGATGCAGTGTTGTTTGTTGTGGGGCTAAGTAGTGGGAGTTGTGTGTGTGCGGTACCGTACGACTGGTTGACGGGGTTGGGGTTGTCTGGTTGATGTAATAGTGGTTGTGTTGCGAGTAAAGTTTGAATGGAGTTGTCAAACCATGTTTGGCATTTGTGTGTAAGCGTCAACTTAGTTTGCGTTCAGATGTTATACAGTGACAGAATGGACGAACCACACTTACCATAAACGCGGACATTGGTTCGAGAAATTCGAGAGGGCGAATGCGACTCGGGGTGTAGGTGTGCGATTCGGGTTTCGATAGCTTTGCGGTATTGTTACTGCATAGTCAGTATTTTGCAGATGATGCACGCGCGCGTTCTTGGTGTGCGGAATGTTGCGATTTGAGTGCGTTGTTTTCACGCAGCTTTCCGCAACATTCTCGCAAGGCCGACGCAGAAAACCTTCGAGGGCCAAAAAAACGCAGCTTTCCTTTTTCGCGATGTTCCTACTGCTATTTACTTGAAAAAAACCCCGACAGTTTCTAACAATCCCCTTCGCAATCCTCCCAGGCACCGCTACAAAACAACTTGTTTAGTAGAGTGTATAGCACACCGACAGCGCCTGCGAAAACTTTCACTTGTCCAAGTTCCAGCGTAAACAAATGAACACTTCCCGTCCCGAACCGCTTCAATCGCGTCCTCGTAGATTCCGAGTCAATCGTGAGGATTTATGCTTCTCTGTTTCACCAGCGAGAGCAGTATGATGAGAAGCGCCATCTTCAGTCTCATGTATGCCCGTCTGTTTCACGAGCCCGTTTCTCAATCGTTCCGTGCTTCCTCTCTCCTCTCTCCTGTCCCGTCAACAAATGGAGCATCGCCGTGTCTTCCGCGTCTTGGCTTTGCTCCTGCTCTCCGTCTCGCTGCTTCCCCTCGCTTCCTCTCTAAGATTCCCGTGGCCGCGGGTCAACGGTCTCTCGAAACCTCCAAAGCAACCCGACCCGAAAACCTCAAAGCAAGTCGACCCGAAATCCCCAAAGCAAGGCGACCCGAAATCCTCAAAAACAGGACGACCCGCAATCCCCAGAGCAACTCGACTGCAGGTTCGTCGGGACTTTTTGAACTACGCAGTGAACGATGTGTTGTTCTAGGGTTGAAAGTAAGTCTACGGGCTAAGCCGTTTGCGGGAAACGGGTTTCTCGTATTCGTCCCCTGCATACCTCAAATATGCGTGAATCGACAATAAACGCGTGGATCTTGTGTATCAATCTCTCCTTTTCTTTCAGCAAGACGTCGTGGCCTGAGGTGCTGGGTATGACGGGCGACACGGCTCGCACTTACATCCAGTCGTCTGTGCCGCAGTGCAGCTGGAACATCGAGATCCTCCCGAGTGGGCATAAAGTTATCATGAATTATCTCGATGATCGCATTCGCATCTTTGTGGACTCACGCGGGATTGTTGATAGAGTTCCGATGGTTGGGTAAGATCTGGTACGCATAATGCGGTACTGTCCGAGTTTGTACGCTGTAGTGGTCAAGGGTGACTGGTTTGGTACAAGTGCTGGATTTGGACAGTTGTCACCGGTAGGTGTATCTGCATGTTATAATACAGTTTATACAATAAAAACAAATTTAGATCACATATGTAGAAAGTCTTAATATTTGCGTAGGTACATTCCTTGTGCACGCTTTTTTTGTGTGGCTCATTTTTTATGTAAAAATAAGGTGCAATTCAAAAGAACAGCAAGGTACATGGTGTGCGGACAGATACGGTACTACTGTAAGTTTGCATGCTCCGTAGGTTGAGCTAGGGTACCATACATTCCTGGCCCACTGCCAGTCTTCTACACAGAACCGAATGGATAGTTGACCCCCCCCCCTCTCCCCCCTCTTCCCCCCTTTCTTCCCCCAACCAGTAATCTCCATGACCAATATAATAACATCCTTAACAAATGTTTGGATTGAGCAGGCGATCTCTCTAGCAATGATTGGAACTCTGTGCTTACGCCAAGTAAGCACAGAGTAAACAAGTAATTTAAGCGATTCTGTTGTGTGTCGAAACACGAAGTCGTAAACGAAGCGAAGCACAACGAAGCATCGGCGAGTCAACCTTTGGAGGTTGAGAAGAAAAACAACTGCTGGAGGTTACGCGAAAGTCAAAGGTCAGCGACCTTTGACCTGACAAATACAGCGCGACAGCAAGGACAAACAACTGACTCGTTATTGAGCAGTTGCCCGAGTCGACACTGTATCGAACCGCAAACAGCAACAGTAAAACGGTTATTAGCTGTATCTCTTCGTATTCCTTGTACTCCTATAAAAACCTTGTATCTTTGTGTTTTAATTAATCTACTTTGCCCTCACATACCAACGAAAGGTGGTTCAATACTTCTTATTAAAACGCTTCCGCAACTACAACATTCCTACCCAGAGTTTAGCCCTGCAAAGATCCTAAGGGCTTTTTCTCAGCCCAACATGGTATGAGAGCTATCAGGGCAAACTCAACTATTTCAAAACACCTACAACATCAGAAGGCATGGCAACACAGAAGGAAAGAAGCTCTTCTAACGGCTCTCCCGGTACTACTCCTACTCCACCTCCTGCCTCTGGCCTACAGACAGAGGAGGGCACGGCAACAAGACCAAGCAGCAGGGTCTACTGAAACTCCCGCAAATCAAGCCGCGGGCTTCGACCCAAGCATGATGGAGAAGTTCTTCTCCTTCATGTCCTTACTACGAACAACACCAGCAAGCGGGACCTGCGCAGTCAAACATCAGCAACAACAACAACGACGTTACGCCCATGAGCCTCGACGGTTCATCCTATGCGCGCGGAAACCAACAGCAGCCTACCTTTGCTCCGTATGAGCCCCAGCGCGGCTCCATAAGCTTCATGCCGAGTCAGCAGCCTTCACCTGGACAAGAAAAGACATTGGACGCACTTCAGGTTCAGTCGCAGTTCGCGCACGTTCTGAAACTTCAAACATCAACACCTTTCGACGGGAAGGATTTCTATACCTGGTCATTCGAGTTTGAGCTGATGATGGAAGGCGCGCAGATTCTTGGATTCTTCGACGGGTCCCTGCCATACCCAACACACGGAACGCATACGACAAGCAGCAGTACACGTATCAGTCAATGATGGCTTACACGATCCTGCTGAGGAACGTAACTCCAAACCAGGCAGCAGAACATTCGGTCTTATCGGGGACGAGCTCGCGTACAACCATTTGAAGAACCTATATCAAGCAACAGACAGCGTCAATCAGAGTCGGTTAATGGCACAGCTGACAATAGTGGAAATGAAACCCGGCGAAAAAGGGATGGCGTATATCAGCCGTTGTCGCGAATTGCGCGACAAACTCCTTCGATGCGGAGGATCGATATCTGAAGAAGCCTTCGTCACAGTTGTCATCTCCGGTCTTGGTCCTCACTGGCGCTCCACTCACGCCATACTCCGAGCTCATGAAAAATCTCTGAAGCAACACTCTGCGTCGAAATACACGCCGAGCAACAAGACATGGACCTGCACGACGAGCGGCATCAAAAGAAAACGCCAGTACCCGAATTTGCATTCCACACTCAACGGCGCTACAACAACAACAACAACAACCGGCATCAACCAAAACCCGTACCCCCGTTTTGTCATCTTTGCAAGACATCAGGACACCCTCGCACGCATTGCCCGAATCGACAGTAGCCAACATCGCCGCAACGTCAACTTTGTCCTTTAAGCAGCCAAGTAGCATCCACACAGGCGCACCCCACAAGTCAGATGCAGTCTTCAACTACATCACCGATACAACCTGCACAAGGAGCAAGAAACATCGTGAGCTGCATGGCGAGACTGTCAGATTCCTGCATCACCGGATCACCACCACACTACTCACCAGAAGAACTGCTCGATGAGAGCACTCCTCGCCGTGAAAAACTGGAGCCGAACCCGACATACGCAGCCATCGCCCAGAGCAAGCCGTCCGGGATGGACACTTGGTCCTTGGACAGCTGCTGCGGACAACACATGTGCTCCTCGAGTCGCTTCGTTCAACGCGAACATCAACTCCAGCGCGAAGTCGTCATTACTGTCGCCAACAATCAGAATCTGCGCACACGACGACAAGGAGTTGTTCAACTTCAGTCAAGAGAAACAAACATAATACTGCAGATGTCAAAGGTCTTGATCGCGGAGGGACTCGGCTACAACTTACTGAGTGTAAGTCAACTGATGGCGAAAGGGATTCACCTCGAAGCAGACATCACCACTCAGGAGTTCAAGTTGTACCACGGGAAAGGCGTACTCTACATCGGAAAAGCTGTGTTGAAGAACAACACCTTCGTTCTTGACTTCGTTCAGACTTAGGCACCGCCGACAGCGATGGAATCCTGACCTTCACCTCTTGGACACACCCACCGGACCTTGACCCCGACTTCAGCCCCGGCGGATTATGGTGTGTGAAACAGAAAGAACGAGAGCATTAGCAACAATTCAATCGGCAGAAGCGAAGACAACATCGGCAACAGCAGAGACAACATTGGCAGCAGCAGAGACAACATCGGCAGCAGCAGAGACAACATTGGCAGCAGCAGAGACAACATTGGTAGCAGGCAGAGACAACATCGGCAGCAGCAGAGACAACATCGGCACCAATCGCTGGGCTCTTCAACGGCACCGGTCTTAGTCGACAACACACCACCGACTCCCGCGCAGCAGCTGAACCCAACTCCACGAGAAGTCCATCGAAGCGCAAACTTCACTGCAGGCTTCTACTCCAACTCTGACATGTACAGACGTTCACCCGGACATCGCGCCACTGAAGGAACCTAGCACGCAAGAATGGGACATCCAAGCAACGCGACGTTAAACAACACGACAAGAGCAGGCCGTGCTCGACAAAGACTCACTACTTCTAACCGACGGCAGAGAACTCCAGCGAGTCCGCGGAACGTGCTTTACCTACCCTGAAGCTGACTTACCGCATCAGCCGTTCGTACCGCATCAGCCGTTCGTCTCGCATCACAACCCGAGCACACCAGCATACGCACCTCCGGAGAAAGTGTACAGCGACATCCTGTACAACCGCGAACCCGGACAAGGGGCATACAATTATGTCATCACGTTCATCGATGCCGCCACACGATACGTCTGGCACCTCAATCTTCCGAGCCCTGACATGGCCTTCGAAGCCTTCGTCGCCTAGCTTCCAGTAGCAGAACGAGAATCAGGAGTGAAGCTAAAAAGCTTCTAGTCCGACAGAGGAGGGGAATATCAATCACAAAGGTTCAAGGACTACGTGGCAGAAAGAGGCATCAAGCGGCTCATCTCCCTTCCCTACGCTCACCAACAGCAAGGCGAGGCAGAAAGAATGAACAGGACTCTTCAGAACACCATGCGCAAGCTACTACGTGGCATGCGAGTACCCAACCACCAGTGGCCCGAAGCAATGGACCACGCCGTGATGCTGCACAACTTGCTCTCGTCATCATCGCTCCCGAGCAACGCATCACCGCATCTGCTGTGGACAGGAAAAACTGGACAGCACAAAAATCTTGCGAGTTTTTGGCTGCATGGTACAGTACCGACCCCCAGCTGCACGCGCCGGCCGATTCTCCCAACGCGCACAGTGGGGACTACACCTGGGCATCGAAAAACATTACAACGCATGGAAGATTTTCGACATCAACACAAAGGAAACAGTGGCAGCACGTGATGTCATCTTCTACGAAAACCTCACTCTTTGGACATACCTTGCCAACGTGGAAGAAGGAAACCCAGACCTCTCGGGCGGATTTCTTGGTACCCGAGCCTTCGCCTCGGTAGAGGATGAAGCTGACTTGGACGAGCAGAACGTGGACAGAGCCTCAGAAGAAGCCGGACCTCTTCCCTACTGCTCAGTTGACGTACCAATGGACGACGAAGATCCTCGCGAAAGCATCAACGCCGAAGTTTATTATCACTTCGCCGACAACGGTTACGTTACACCTGCAAGAGTCAACACCAACAAAGCGGAACGCATAGGACCCAACTTCATACCTGATCCAGAAGCAGAAGACGAAGCCGTCTATCCCGAGGACACAACTCTCCCCCGCTACATACAGAGCGGGCTGCAGATACTTGGCCTCGTCACCGCAGTCCACGGCTCGGCGCCACCTAAGGAGCCTGCCACAGTTCAGCAGGCTCTGGGGGGGGAACACAAGGAAAAATGGCGCGAAGCCATGGATAGGGAGTTAAAGGCACTGGAAAGAACGCAACACCTGGAAGGTTGTTCCATCGGCGTGGCACGTAACAAGACAATCCTTACCGGAAAATGGGTTTTCCGTGTGAAAACCAAAGCAGACGGCACCATCGACAAGTTCAAGGCGCGCTGGGTCGTACGCGGCTTCGACCAAGAGCACGGACGAGACTTCACCAAAACATTTGCGCTAGTTAGCCGACACATCTCTCTGCGGATTCTCCTCGCGATAGCCGCTATGAAGAAGAAGAAGAAGAAGAAGAAGAAGCTACGTCAAATCGATGTCGCCAACGCCTTCCTCTACGCACTTGTTGACGCTGAGATCTTCGTCGAGCTACCACACGGTTCCAACGGAGATCCGAACCAAGTCTGCCAACTACTGAAATCTCTATAAACGGCATTAAGCAAGGCTCCGAGACTGTGGCAGTTGTATCTACAACGCTCGACTCATCCGCATCGGATTCCACCAGCTACCGCACGACCAGGGCATGTACCGACTCACGAAGGGCACTGACTACATTCTACGCATCGTCTACGTAGACGATCTGCTTTACATCGGTTCGACCGAAGGAATTACAACCTGGTTCGAAGGGGAGCTGCAGCAGGAACTCACGCTCACGGTTTCATCTACCGTAACGCAATACCTCGGGCTCAATATTCAGGAGGAGGAAAACGCAATCTACCTCAGCGCCGCAAAATACACCGACACCATCGCCAACGCTTCGGACTCACCCCAACTATTATCTCCACACCATATCGCTACACCACCGGAAGTCACAAGGAAACCTCCGCTCTGCTCAAGCCCGCCGGCATACGCGACTACCAACGAAAACTAGGATGTTTGCTCTTCGCAGCCGTCACCTGCCGACCGGACCTCTCGTACTCCGCAAGCCAACTCGCCATCTACCTCAAGAAACCTGAAGTTGAACATATGGCAGAGCTCGATTGCGCACTACACTACATCGTCAGCACCCCGACGATCGGGCTAACTTACTACAAGACCGAAACTACGGCGCCTAAGCTAATCGGCGACGTCGACGCTGATCACCGCCGGCGACTCTGACAACAGGCGCTCGCGCACAAGCTACATCTACCGACTCGAGCCCATCGGGCTCATCTCTTGGTAGTCGAGCAAGCAGGAACTAATTGCTCTCTCCTTAGCTGAAGCAGAATATATTGCACTCTGCTCAGCCACCAAGGAAGAACTGTACCTTCGCGAACTGCTGGAAGAGGCGAAGCTGGCCCAGTTACCCAGCCTCTCCCTGTTCTGGCGACAACCAGTCTGCAACCCGCATAGCCAACAAGAACGGATTCGCGAACAGAACGAAGCACATGTCAGAACATTATATAGCTTATGCTGTTGTGTAGGCTATAGTGGGGTATCCCATAGGGGGTACAACCCAATTAGGGTTTCCTATTTGTACTCACTTCATTTCATAGTTCATTCATTCTCGTTCTCATTCTCACATGGAATCAGAGCAGGTCCCCTCCTAGGGACTGTTCCTTGGGCCCACCGAAAGCGCGCCTCGAGTCGCGCCTGCCTTTTTTTTAGCGGCCCGTCGAGTCGCACCTAGCGGCCCGTCGCGCCGCCCTTACGGTCGCGTCGAGCCGCCCTAGCGGCTGCGGCGCGCCGCCCTTTTCCCGGCCCGTCGCCGCCCTTACCCGCGGCTTTGCGCCGCTCTCACCGGCGGCTTCGCGCCGCCCCTACCTGCGGCTTCGCGCCGCCCAGGCCCGTCGCCGCCCTTCCCGTGGCTTCGCGCCGCCCCGGCCCGTCGCCGCCCTTACCTGCGGCTTCGCGCCGCCTACGGCCCGTCGCCGCCCTTTTCTGCGGCCCCGCCGCCTCTCTCGTTGCGGCCCCCGCCGCCCGTCTTCGCGGCCACCGCCGCCATCTCTCGCTGCGGCCCCCGCCGCCACTCACTGCGGCCCCGCCGCCCGTCTTCGCGGCCCCGCCGCCCTGCTCACGCGGCCCCGCCGCCCTGCTCACGCGGCCCCCGCCGCCCACTGCTAAGCGGCCCCCGCCGCCCCACTACAGCGGCCCCGCCGCCCTCACGTCGCGGCCCGCCCGCCACCCTACCTGCGGCCCGCCCGCCGCCCTACCTGCGGCCCGCCCGCCGGCCCTACCTGCGGCCCGCCCGCCGCCCTACCTGCGGGCCCTACCGCCGCCCTACCTGCGGGAGCCGCCTAGCAGCAGAACCGCCGGGAGCCGAGCCGCCCTGCCGCCGAGCCGCCCGGGAGCCGAGCCGCCCTGCCGCCGAGCCGCCCGGGAGCCGAGCCGCCCTGCCGCCGAGCCGCCCGGGAGCCGAGCCGCACTGCCGCCGAGCCGCCCAACAGCCGAGCCGCCCAGCAGCCGAGCCGCCTGCCGCCCGAGCCGCTGAGCAGCCGAGCCGCCCTAACTGCCGACCCGCCCCCGACCTGCCCTGTCCGGTGAGCACAGCCCCACTGTCACTGCGTGCCCTTCCCCTACTGCTTGCACTGCTCGTCTGTCGTCGTCATGGCTACCCCCTAGTGTCCTCGCTTTTGATGCTGAGGGTCGAGCCATTGACTTTGAGGTCTGGGTCGACGACCTGCAGCTGTTCTTACAGTGCGATAGGGCGGACGGTCTTTCCCTCTTTGACCTCACCTCTGGCGCCTCTCCTGCCCCCTGCTACTGATGCTGACCCCACTGTTCGCTCTCAGTGGGCCACCCGCGATGCTGCTGCACGTCTTGCTGTGCGTCGCCACCTGCCTACCACTGAGCGCGCGCACTTTATGTCAGTACAAGAGTGCTCAGACCTTGTACGACGCTGTAGTTGCGCGCTACTCTTCCCCTGCCACTGCTGCCCTGAGCCGCCTCATGCTACCGTACCTCTTTCCTGACCTTACTGCCTTTCCCACTGTCGCTGACCTCATTACGCACCTCCGCACCAGTGACACTCGCTACCGCGCCGCCCTTCCTGCTGAGTTCTGCGCCAAGAACCCCCCCCCCATGTACATCACTCTCTATTACATAGTCACACGCCTCCCTGACTCCCTTCGCGTAGTCAGGGACCACTACCTCTCGGTCTGTCCCACCACTCTCACTGTCGACCTCCTCGAGAAGTCCCTCCTGGCGGCGGAGAAGAGCATCGTCGCTGTAGGAGCCTCTCGTGGTGACCCTCGCACCCCCATCTTTGAGGGGTGTTCTCCTTCCCCCCTGCTGCCCTCTGTTGCCTCTGCTGCTGCTGCCGACCTGCTTGGTCTTGAGTCGGTCTGCGCGGCGTCTGCCCCTAGCGGGAGACGCCGCCCTGGCAGGGGCAAGGGGGGCAAGGGCGCGGGTGGAACTGGCGGGGGCGGTGGAGGAGGCGGTGGAGGCGGAGGAGGGAGTGGGGGTGGCGGTGGGAGTGGTGGCTGGGGCGGTGGTGGCGGTGGCAGCAGCGGAGGAGGAGGCGGTGGTGGCGGCAGCGGTGGGAGCGGAGGCAGCGGTGGTGGTGGAGGTGGAGGCAGCGGTGGCGGAGGGGGTGGAGCTGGTCGGGGTGGTGCCCCGCAGCGTAGCGGCCCTGGTGGTGGCCAGCGTCAGCAGCAGCAGCAGCAGCGTTCGCGGGACATCCCCCCGCCCCAGCAGCTCCGTGAGTGGTACACGCAGCGTCAGCGGGGTGGGGGTTTTGGTCCGTGCACCTACGTCCTTCGTTCCGGTGACCGAGCGGGTGAGCAGTGTGGGGGTGCGCACCCCACTCAGCGCTGCTTTGCCCGCCTGACGGACGCTTGGCGTCAGCAGTTCCCCGAGGCCAGTGAGATTCCCCGTTGGGGAGAGCTGTCTAGGGCTGGCGTAGCTGTCTTTGATCTTGACTTTGATGCTATCCTTGCTGCCATGTATGCTGTGACTATTAGTGAGGAGGGTGACTGTTACCAGTGTTTCCCGCCCGACCCGGGCATTGGTACTGCTGCGCCAGGTACTTCTGCGGCTGCTGCTCTAGGTGCCAGTGCGTCTGCACTCTCAGGTACTGGTGAGGCTGCGCTCTCAGGTACTGCGTCGGCTTCGGCCTCCCTCACCTTCACACTTGGCTCAGGGGCTTCTCGCTCCTTCTTTCGAGACCGCACCACACTCACGCCGCTTGGCCGGCCGGTTGCAGTCTCCCTGGCTGACCCCTCTGGGGGTCCTGTCCTCTCTCACTTCTCCACTGTCCTCCCGTGTCCGGCTGCCCCCTCGGGCACCTTGTCTGGTCTGTACCTCCCCTCGTTCTCGACGAACTTGGTGAGTGGTGCTGACCTGCAGGATGCGGGGGTTCACCAGTTTACTCCTGCGAGTCAGCGGGTGACCCACTGCTCGGATGCCCGCACAGGCCGACACCTGGCCACGTTCTCGCGTCGGCCAGGGTCGAGTCTCTACACACTTACCACTGCGTCTCCTCCTGTCCCTGCGTCTGGCCAGGTAGCTGCGTCGGGTCAGGTGTTTGCTGCTGCGTCCAGGTCTGGTCCTGAGTCTGCCCCCCTGCTCGTGTCGCCGCCTGTCTCACGAGACTCTCCTGTGGCACCACCGTCTTGGCCACCCCTCCTTGCTTCGTCTTCGGGGCATGGCTTCCCGTGTCCTTGTCTCTGGTCTTCCCCGGTCTCTCCCTCCCCTTCCTTCGGGACCCGGACCTTCTTGTGTCCCCTGTGTCGAGGGGCGGCTCCGGGCTGCCCCTCACTCCTCCCAGTTTCCCCCGACAGTGGCTCCTCTGCAGACGCTTCACATGGACGTGTGGGGCCCCGCCCGCGTCCGTGGGCAGGGTCACGAGCGCTACTTCCTGCTGGTGGTTGACGACTACTCGCGTTACACCACAGTCTTCCCCTTGCGCAGCAAGGGTGATGTCACTGAGGTGTTGATCGACTGGATCCGCGCAGCTCGTCTCCAGCTCAGGAGGAGCTTCGGCTCGGACTTTCCTGTTCTGCGTCTGCACTCTGACCGAGGTGGAGAGTTCTCCTCTGGCCTTCTGCGAGCCTACTGTCGTGCACGAGGCATCCGCCAGACCTTTACGCTTCCGGACTCTCCACAGCAAAATGGGATTGCTGAGCGCCGCATTGGCATGGTCATGGACGTCGCTCGTACGTCCATGATGCATGCGGCTGCCCCCCATTTTCTGTGGCCGTTTGCGGTTCGGTACGCGGCGCATCAGATCAACCTTCACCCCAGGGTCTCCCGGCCGGAGACCTCCCCAGCTCTGCTGTGGACGGGGAAGGTCGGCGATGCGTCTGCGTTCCGTGTCTGGGGATCTCGGGCGTTTGTCCGCGACTTGTCTGCGGACAAGCTGTCCCCTCGTGCTGCTCCCTGTGTCTTCCTCGGCTTCCCCCCTGACGCTCCAGGGTGGCAGTTCTACCACCCCTCCTCTCGTCGTGTTCTGTCCTCCCAGGACGTCACGTTCGACGAGTCAGTCCCCTTCTACCGCCTCTTCCCCTACCGCACTCCTTCCCTCCCCCCGCCACCGCACTTCCTTGTGCCAGGTCCCCCCC